CAAGCCGAGCTGGAACCGAGACAGAAAAAAGGTGATGCCAGGCTGATTGCCAAGAAAAATTGGGATGCGCTTCCTGCTGCAGAGCGGAACAAGTGTGAGGCCAGTTATTTCTTTCTTTGTTTTATGCTGTCCTTTGTGGCTTCAGACCTTGAAGGTGGAGGCTGCTGAGCGTATGCAGCAATACCAGGCTGTGTTGCACCAGGTTGTGTTGGCAGACAGACAAATCACATTTGTAACTGGCAGTAGTATATATGCGCTGGCAGGAATGGTACCATACGGGTGGTGGAAAGGAAGTCTGGGCCTTGTCAGAAACCATCTGGCAAAGCACACACTTTGTCTTTGTGGCAAAGCACAAACTTTCTCTTTTGCAAGTACTGCCAGAGAAAGGTGTGGTCATATTCCATGAGGTCATAGCAAAACGCAAAGCGGAGAAGAAGGCAGCACAGTCTCAAGAGAAGGCGTTTGCTGTGAATTTGCTGTGAATCGAGACTTGACATGAAGAGTTGTTGTGCATTGTTCTTTTGCACAGGCACCCAGACTGGATGGCGAGCAGGCGGGCTTGATATTGCGCTGGGGGCACCTGCTGGTGTTGTCAACCCTGGCGAGGCAGCGCCAGTGACCTCCACCCAGAATTCAGCATACGGTCTCTGACTTAGGCTTCTGCAACCTGAAGGATATGTGGCAAAAAGAATATCAGTAGCTGGAGGTTTTTCAACAACTTCCATGATATTGAAATTTTGATAAATTTTGTTTTTTTCAGTATTGCGGAATTTGGTCTGAGGACTTTTCCTGACAGAGAAGAAAAACGATTTTGTGAAGCAAGCGTCGCAGCTAGAGGCGAAACAATGTCTTCCATTGGCCTGTTGTGTTTGAGTATGGAGATAGATTTCTGAAGATAGCCAGGCGGATGGATCAAAGAGAGGTTTGTGGACCAAATTGGCAGCTACAGCGTGGCGTGACTTGAGTCCCAAGTCCAAGCGACAGTACGAGGAGCTTCTCTTTTCGCTGAGTTTGGAAGAACCAGACATTTTAGTAATAGCCACAGGACCAAGCCTCGCAACTTCCCCGGGAAACAAGAAAAAGGAAACGAGGCCCAGAGGTGGGTAAGAGTAAATGTGGTATACTTGGATGGCTGTCTATGTGTTTTTGAGTTCGTTGGTGATGTTGGCACTTTGTCTTGTGATAATGTCACCTTGACCAGGGGCATTTAGCGAAGCCCAGCTTCCAGGTGAAAAATTGTCGCATATGTGGAGCGGTTTCCTCATCAGATGTGCAGTGGCATCAAACGAGGGAGGGCTTCGCCAACGGCGAACGATGCCGGCCATGTGTCGTGAAAGTTGCTTGTCCTTATCATTGGGTGCAAAATTATGATGGGCTCCTAGTATACCTTACCTAGGGAAACAAATTCGCAGCTAGGGAAACAAATTCGCAGCTAGGGAACTACATTCGCAGCTAGGGAAACAAATTCGCAGCTAGGGAAACAATTTCGCAGCAAGGGAAAGAATTTCGCAGCTGGGAAGCAAATTCGCAGCTAGGGAAACAAATTCGCAAAATTGCGAAGCAATTTCGCAGCTAGGGAAACAAATTCGCAGCTAGGGAAACAAATTCGCAGCTAGGGAAACAATTTCGCAGCAAGGGAAAGAATTTCGCAGCTACGAGTAGGGAAACAAATTCGCAGCTAGGGAAGCAATTTCGCAGCTAGGGAAGCAATTTCGCAAGATAGGGAAGCAATTTTGCAGCTAGGGAAGCAATTTCGCAAAATTGCGAAGCAATTTCGCAGCTAGGGAAACAAATTCGCAGCTAGGGAAACAAATTCGCAGCTAGGGAAACAATTTCGCAGCTAGGGAAGCAAATTCGCAGCTAGGGAAGCAATTTCGCAAAATTGCGAAGCAATTTCGCAGCTAGGGAAACAAATTCGCAGCTAGGGAAACAAATTCGCAGCTAGGGAAGCAATTTCGCAAGATAGGGAAGCAATTTCGCAGCTAGGGAAGCATTCGCAATTTCGCAGCTAGGGAAACAAATTCGCAGCTAGGGAAACAATTTCGCAGCTAGGGAAACAAATTCGCAGCTAGGGAAACAATTTCGCAGCTAGGGAAGCAAATTCGCAGCTAGGGAAGCAATTTCGCAAAATTGCGAAGCAATTTCGCAGCTAGGGAAACAAATTCGCAGCTAGGGAAACAATTTCGCAGCTAGGGAAGCAAATTCGCAGCTAGGGAAAAGCAAATTCGCAAAATTGCGAAGCAATTTCGCAGCTAGGGAAACAAATTCGCAGCTAGGGAAACAATTTCGCAGCTAGGGAAGCAAATTCGCAGCTAATTCGCAGCTAGGGAAACAATTTCGCAGCAAGGGAAAGAATTTCGCAGCTACGAAACAAATTCGCAGCTAGGGAAACAAATTCGCAGCTAGGGAAACAATTTCGCAGCTAGGGAAGCAAATTCGCAGCTAGGGAAGCAATTTCGCAGATAGGGAAGCAATTTCGCAGCTATAGTAGGGAAGCAATTCGCAGCTAGGGAAACGCAAAATTGCGCAGCTAGGGAAACAAAGCTAGGGAAGCAATCGCAGCTAGGGAAACGCAGATAGGGAAGCAATTTCGCAGCTAGGGAAGCAATTTCGCATTGCGCAGCTAGGGAAACAAATTCGCAGCTAGGGAAACAAATTCGCAGCTAGGGAAGCAAATTCGCAGCTAGGGAAGCAATTTCGCAGCTAGGGAAGCATTCGCAATTTCGCAGCTAGGGAAACAAATTCGCAGCTAGGGAAGCAAATTCGCAGCTAGGGAAGCAATTTCGCAAGATAGGGAAGCAATTTCGCAGCTAGGGAAGCATTCGCAATTTCGCAGCTAGGGAAACAAATTCGCAGCTGGGGAAACAATTTCGCAGCTAGGGAAACAAATTCGCAGCTAGGGAAACAATTTCGCAGCTAGGGAAGCAAATTCGCAGCTAGGGAAGCAATTTCGCAAAATTGCGAAGCAATTTCGCAGCTAGGGAAACAAATTCGCAGCTAGGGAAGCAAATTCGCAGCTAGGGAAGCAAATTCGCAGCTAGGGAAGCAAATTCGCAGCTAGGGAAGCAAATTCGCAGCTAGGGAAGCAATTTCGCAGCTAGGGAAGCAATTTCGCAGCTAGGGAAGCAATTTCGCAGCTAGGGAAGCAATTTCGCAGCTAGGGAAACAAATTCGCAGCTCGGGAAGCAAATTCGCAAAATTGCGAAGCAATTTCGCAGCTAGGGAAACAAATTCGCAGCTAGGGAAGGAAATTCGCAGCTAGGGAAGGAAATTCGCAGCTAGGGAAACAAATTCGCAGCTAGGGAAACAATTTCGCAGCTAGGGAAACAATTTCGCAGCTAGGGAAGCAAATTCGCAGCTAGGGAAGCAAATTTCGCAGCTAGGGAAGCAAATTTCGCAGCTAGGGAAACAAATTCGCAGCTAGGGAAGCAAATTCGCAGCTAGGGAACTACATTCGCAGCTAGGGAAACAAATTCGCAGCTAGGGAAACAATTTCGCAGCTAGGGAAACAATTTCGCAGCTAGGGAAACAATTTCGCAGCTAGGGAAGCAAATTCGCAGCTAGGGAAGCAAATTCGCAGCTAGGGAACTAGATTCGCAGCTAGGGAAACAATTTCGCAGCTAGGGAAACAATTTCGCAATTTTGCAGCTAGGGAAGCAAATTTCGCAGCTCGGGAAGCAAATTCGCAAAATTGCGACCAAATTTCGCAGCTAGGGAAACAAATTCGCAGCAAGGGAAACAAATGCGCAGCTAGGGAAGCAAATTCGCAGCTAGGGAAACAAATTCGCAGCTAGGGAAACAATTTCGCAGCTAGGGAAGCAATTTCGCAGCTAGGGAAGCAAATTCGCAGCTAGGGAAGCCATTTCGCAAAATTGCGAAGCAATTTCGCAGCTAGGGAAACAAATTCGCAGCTAGGGAAGCAAATTCGCAGCTAGGGAAGCAATTTTGCAAGATAGGGAAGCAATTTCGCAGCTAGGGAAGCATTCGCAATTTCGCAGCTAGGGAAACAAATTCGCAGCTAGGGAAACAATTTCGCAGCTAGGGAAACAAATTCGCAGCTAGGGAAACAATTTCGCAGCTAGGGAAGCAAATTCGCAGCTAGGGAAGCAATTTCGCAAAATTGCGAAGCAATTTCGCAGCTAGGGAAACAAATTCGCAGCTAGGGAAACAATTTCGCAGCTAGGGAAGCAAATTCGCAGCTAGGGAAGCAAATTCGCAAAATTGCGACCAAATTTCGCAGCTAGGGAAACAAATTCGCAGCTAGGGAAACAATTTCGCAGCAAGGGAAACAAATTCGCAGCTAGGGAAGCAAATTCGCAGCTAGGGAAGCAATTTCGCAGCTAGGGAAACAAATTCGCAGCTAGGGAAACAATTTCGCAGCAAGGGAAACAAATTCAGCTAGGGAAACAAATTCGCAGCTAGGGAAACACATTCGCAGCTAGGGAAACAAGTTCGCAGCTAGGGAAACAATTTCGCAGCTAGGGAAGCAAATTCGCAGCTAGGGAAGCAATTTCGCAGCTAGCAATTTCGCAAAATTGCGAAGCAATTTCGCAGCTAGGGAAACAAGTTCGCAGCTAGGGAAGCAAATTCGCAGCTAGGGAAACAAGGAAGCAAATTCGCAGCTAGGGAAGCAAATTCGCAGCTAGGGAAGCAAATTCGCAGCTAGGGAAGCAATTCGCAGCTAGGGAAGCAATTTCGCAGCTAGGGAAACAAATTCGCAGCTAGGGAAACAATTTCGCAGCTAGGGAAACAATTTCGCAAAATTGCGAAGCAATTTCGCAGCTAGGGAAGCAAATTCGCAGCTAGGGAAGCAAATTCGCAAAATTGCGACCAAATTTCGCAGCTAGGGAAACAATTTCGCAGCTAGGGAAAGAATGTCGCAGCTAGGGAAAGAATTTCGCAGCAAGGGAAACAATTGCATGACGTAGATCAAGGGCCGTTCCTTGTGCCGTTCCTTGCGCTGCGGGAGACAATGATTCGATATCAGATTGACCATTGCAATGGCCTGTGTGGTTTCTGGGAAAGCCGCGGTTGCAAGATATGCAAAACTGCAAGTTGGAAAGCCATTGGCCTTGAAGGATCAGTCGCAGGAAAGCTTGTGGCTGCTTGCCAAGGACAAAAAACTGCGGGCGCTGCTCTTGAAACAGTTGCAAGAGCATTGCTGCAGCTCAGATGGCCAGATCGCCCGTGATCACATGGCAGAGCAGCCAGCGAGTGTTTCGTTGGTGAGCAGCTGCGGGTTTGAAGTGGAAAGCGAGGCCTTTGATGTTTGGCCCGCAGCTTCTTGGTAGCACAGTCTAACCATTCTTGGTGAGGAATGCGCTGGACCCAAACAAGGAGAAAAAAGCTGACAGACATACAGCTGCCTCAGGACCTGTATGACGAGAAACGGCATGGGCCTCCAGGACCACTGCGCTGGATCGGCGGCAAGGAATGTGTGGTCAAAACGGCAGTTGGACAGCTGGTGCCGTATCTTGCATAAACCATTGTGATTTCTTTTTGTTGGATTGATGCCAGTGCAAATGGTGGCAGTGACATGAGGCACAATGCGAAGAGGGTGAGACCGAAGCAGCAATATATCGTGCAGAAGTCGCAGCAGGAGGCTGACGATTCGGCTTCTGCAATATATGATGCCATTGCTGGCACCTCTTCGCAGCAGGGGTTACAAGGCATGCACAAAGTGTCATATGTCGCAGAGACTTAGAAAAGAAAAAAAAAGATATAAGAACTTGCAGACTTGCAGATTGTGCGGAACTTGTGCGGCCGTTCCCTTGTTGTTGTCTAAGGCTCACCAGTGACATCAGCGATCTCCCCTTTATGCTGGGCCTACCTCCTCCGGCGCGAGATTAAACAACGCAAGATCTCTAACGAGCCAGTTTGTTGATTAGAGATCAGACTATGTTGTGTTTTTTTCAAAATAAAGCTATATTTTTACCTGGCAGGTAGGGAAACATCGATAGCACTGTACCGATCTGTGAATCAGTGGAACAACTTGGAACAACTTGGAACAAGCTCAGAGGATCCGCAAAGTCTAGGAAATCCGCGCAAACAAACCGGGAGGTGTTCTTAGCAGAAAAGTTGTTCTCGTAAGCATTCCGCGCCTTGACACGGCTGAGCAAAAGGTCTCAGCTCAAGGCCCGACAGCTCGATGGCCTCATAGATACATATAGATCCTATAATCTTTATTATAGACGTTATAGCAGTAAAATTTGTACCATGTAAATCAATGTCACATATTGTTGTATCTCTGACCAATATCTTACATTGTGTGAACATCTTTACAAAGCTGGAGGGCGGCGAAGGCTTCAGTGGATTGCGTTTGCAGCTGCCATGGTCTGGCCGTGAATCCAAACCTAGCAAATCCAAAAGAACCAGTTTCTAAACAGAAATGAATTTCAGTCCCGCTTCTCCAAAGAGAGGAAATGAAATCTCCGTTTTTTCAATTTTTTTGCTCATCTTGTTTTTCCTGCCACGATTGTTTATGTGGCATTGCTCCAGCGGCACGGCCTGCGCAGCATTTTCAATTTGACTTAGTGCTCTCCGCTTATGTATGACACTCAGCACACAGAGACCAGGCGGCTGGGAAGGAAACAAAGCTAAACGTAGAATCAAATTGCCAACAAAAAAAGGGAGAAAATTCCTCATTCAATGCTGAAAGAATGAGTTACAGGCATAATCTTGCAAACCCGGCACAGATCTGGTTTGTCAGCAGAGCTGCCGCCCACAGGTTTTCGCTCATGCCAAATCAGGTCCCAACTGGGCCCCTGACGCCCCTAGGCGTGTGCATGCGCAGTGTTGAAGGACATGAGAAAAAATTCTATCACATTTTTTTTATCAGAAATGTAATGCCTCTGAGAGACAAATCTCAAATTATTTGAAACATTGCATGCCAAGAAATGACAGCTTTGGTGCTAAGAGCCACACGGCTTGACGTAGATCAAGGGCCGTTCTTTGTGCCGTTCCTTGTGCGACGATGCAGAAGCATCAAACCAAATGCACAGCATCGTGAATCGGAACGTTTCTTCAGCCTTTCCAAATGGATGCAGCAGAGAAAAAACAGAGGTGAGTGGTATCGTCTACAGTTTCGAGTTCATCCCCATGGCATTTTTCGCAATTAGCCATGTTTTTTTTCGCAATCGGACAACATCAGCTTTCGCAATTAACTATCTTTTTCTTTCGCAATTAAACTATACTCTCGTGAACGCCCCGTCGAGTGGTAGCGACATCTTCACTGCCTATCAGAGCGAACTAGCTGAATACAAAACATCACTGGAAAAGGCTACTGAAGAAGAATCCGTACTTCAGGCAAGATTGACTGAGACGACAGCATATGCCTATCAACAATTTAACTTCCTGGAAAGCACCACTCATCAAGAGATGATGTCGATGACTGAACAACTCCAGATGCTGAACTTCGAGTTACAGGCTGCACAACAAGAAGATGAAGGTGCGACCTACAGGATCGAAGAATTGGAGAGGTATCAGACTATGTCGAATGAAGCTGCATCTCATTTGGAATTCAAATATTCACGACTACGTTCGGAATTCGATGAACAAATGGGACAAGCGAACGCAATCATGGTACATGTGGGCACTGATGCGAATGCTCACATCAATCAACTCAGACTGGAACTAGAAAACGCAGAGATGAATGCAAAGCAAGAAGCTCTGGCGGTCGGTTACGCTAATGACCAGACATGTGCTTTACAGATCGAGATGCTCGAGGTTGCTAATCAGAACCAGACGATGAAGCACACCATGGCCTTGAACGTCAGACGACTGGAAACTGAGCTCGATGCTGCTGACATGAAGAGGGACGAGATCATGAAGGAGTTCCGTAGTAACATAAGATCTGAACATGACCGTTATGCAGAATGTGAACATCATTTGGCATTGGAAGAATCACAACTTCGATTGCAGGTGATTCACAACGAGAACTTACAATCTCGACTAGCGACTTCTGAGAGCAAGGCTTCTGAGGAATCTCTAGCTGAAACAAGTGGTATGCGGGACATGAGGATAATGGGACTACGTTCGGAACTGCACATGAAACAAAGTCTTTTAGATCGAATGCAACAACAACTGACTGAATCGAAGAATCGGTATCATGAACTTTCCTGTCAACAAGCCAGAAGATCCTCGCCAAGCAGATCACCGCATGGAGCAGCACTATATGAGATGTATATGCAAGCCGTGCGTGAGCGTGACAACTTAAAGGAATCCAAGGCTGAAGTTGACAAGTTGTACTTACAAAACAGAACTGAACTCATTGACACTGAGAACCTGCTCAAAACCTTCCAGCAACATTTCGATGAAACTGGTAAGAAGTATCAAGATGCTCTGAACAAGATCGATCACATGAGTAGCAATCCGAATGTGACGAGTAACTTGTTCGACAGTTTGCACAATGAAATCAATGACAGGGATACAGCTATTGCTCGCCTTCATACTGAACTTGAAGCCCAAAAGGATTCTCTTGAGCGTGCTCACAGGGATGCAGGTAAGTCCATCAAGATGTTGAACGACAGAAGACTCGTGATCAAAGGTGCGACTGACTATTCCATTCCTGAAAGCCACTTGACTGAGATGCATCAATTGGCTAGTGAACGTTTCGCCGAAGTAGAAGAGATGTCGAGCACCATTGCTGCCCTGAAGTTGGAAAACCAGGCTTATTCTTCTTCATCATTGAATAGACCGACTACATTACATGGGTACCCCAGTAATGCTATGCCTCGGAATGAATGTGAAGAGAAGTGTGCCAAACTGAAAGCAGAGTTGGACGAGATGAAGCAAGAGAGGAACGCTGAAGTTCGAAATCTTCAAGATGAATTGAAGAAGATGGAAGATCGGAAAGACTATTACAAGAACAATTTCTCTCAAGCTGAAGATCGTGCCAACGATGAAGAGCAGGAATACCGAGCGGAAGCTGAAGCCTTCGAGAAGCTCAGGAACGAGTACAACACCAATGTCAAGGAGTTGGAGAACCTTGAGAGGGATAGATCTAAGTCATCCGTATCTCTAAGAGAAGCCGAAAAGATCAGCCTCCAACCCTGGCCTAAGACCACTGAACTTTCATCCTGGAAGGGAAGTGTTGTTCATGAAGTTTGTGTTGCAAGTGGAGATCGAAACTATGAAGATTGGAAAGCGTGGCTAGCTCCGTGTCTTGCAGATCAACCTGACTTAGAAGCTCTGGCCAAAGCACCCGATGTGAGATTCCAATCCATTGATGCCAAGCTCTCCAATGCCTTGAGGAAAGTCATTGACAATGCTGGGGACAAGTCCATGCAAGTGAAATATGACATGTCCATGAAGAACCAAATGTATGGGAGGAGTGGGGATTTCATCAAGGGGCGAGAACTATTCGCAATGGTCTTGATTAGCTTCAAGTCGCCTGACCACACTGAGGTTCTCTACAACGCCCATCATTTGTACATGTTCAATTACTATGGAGATGACCAACTTGAGGCCTTCTACAACAAGTGGCTTGATATCATATACAACATGAAACATGATGATCTGCCTTCTGCAAATTCCCTGCGTGACACATTGTTCCGGAAGATTGAACATTCAAAGCTTATGGCTTTTGATATCAACCGATACAAAACCTATGATGAAGGGCATCCTGAGAAGACCTATGCTTCCCTAACTGGTATGATCAAAGGATACATAGCGCGAGGAAAGCAAGAACGACTGTTGAAAGATAGAGAACGTGCAGTGAAACTGTCATTGTCCTCTAACAAGACGACACCTGCCCTGGAAGATGCTGACAAACCTGCTGCTCCCATTAAGACCAAGAAGGAGAATGAAGCAGCTGCATCGTCTACAGGTGATCCTCCCAAACGACCCAAAGCGAAGGCGAAGAGTGAAGCTGCATCAGTACTCCCAACACCTTCTCCGAAATCTCACGCCGACAAGAACAACAAGAAAGGCAAAGGTGGGAAGGGGAGATCATCTTCACCCGTTGACAAGAAGAAGATTTTCTGCAATTACTTCTTCAATAAAGGAGGATGCAATAAGGGTGACAAGTGTCTTTACAGTCATTCTCAGAAGGTCTATGATGCCAAGATGAAAGGTAAGAAAGGCCGAAGTGGAAGTCGAGATTCATCAAGGGGGAAAAGTAAAGGGAGTTCATCTTCAGCTGGACCCAGAAAGAAGGTATGTTGGAATTGGCAGAAGGGTACCTGCACATTTGGGAACAAATGTAAATTCCTACATGCGGACCAATCGCCTTCAGCATCATCAGAGAGGACCAGCAAGAAGACACCAAAGAAGAAAGCAACTCCCATTACCATTGACTCCTTCTTTGATAGCGACAATGAAGACTCTTTGGGTTATACCTCACCGAGGATAGCCAGCGCAAAGAGGTCTTCTGATGATCGCAGGATCTCTTTTGAACTGGAACCTGAAGTGCACGAGATTGCCATTGAGAATTACCAAGAGGGACTACCCAAGCGTATGTATCGTGACCCCAACAAGCAGTAT